ATAGGACATGAATTGCCAAGAGCATAGATCAAAGATGATATTCAACAGGTTCTGACCAGTTCTGGAGAACTGGTAGTGGAAATTTTGAGTAGCTCAGAGAACTGGCAAATACCACCTCTGAGTGGCCCCACCTCCAACTATTCTCTGCCTCCCGAGTCCCAGCTGATTGGCTGGGTCTTCTTTTGTTGCCCTGCACAGGAGAACGGAGCTGGAAAGCAGGTTAGTGGGGTTGGAAGGGAATGTGGCTTTTGCAGTGACCTTCCCCAAGGAATGGGGAGGGAATGTGGATTTTGCAGCATCCTTCCCCTGCCATGCCTAGCAAGGCATGCTCACCAAGCCACACTACCACCAAGCCATGCCCACAGAACAGGTAGTAAAAATATTTGAATCCCACCACTGCTACAAATATATTAAGTATTTATTCTTCAGAACACCTGCTGAGATAAAGAAGGTAGGTGGTCAGTTATCTTGTATAGGACATGAATTGCCAAGAGCATAGATCCAATTGCAAATAGTCTTGTTGAGTATACATATGTTGCTGTATATTGGTATGTCTCAGCCTTAGCAACTTTCCAGATGTGTGGACTTCAATTCCCCATGCTGGCTGAGAATTCTGGGAATTGAAGTCCACACAACTTAGTTTTGCTGAGGTTGAGAAACACTGACCCAGTGTAAAAATCGCTGTTCTCTGCTTATCGTGGACCTGTGCCTGCTTCTGCTAACCTAGACCAATCTTTGTTGCTTATACAAATGAATTGCTTTCAGAACTTCCTTTAAGGTCTATTACACAGATATTTCTGAAGGTGCATCCCACTGCAGAGCTGTGGAAAAGAGTTGCTTATAACTGCTCTGGGTTCCCAAGAATGGGAATCTGCATTCAGCACTGTTTGTCCAGCAACCCTGGAAGTGGCTGTTATGTCTGCAAAACAAGAAGATTAAAAAAAAATCTGCTGACTCAAAGAATCATTTTCCCCAGAAAAAAACAAAACAAAACTGCTTTGTATAGTTTTTGTAATTTCTTGCTCATTATGATGGGTCTTAGCAAATTACAAGAACAGGGTTTTGGTGTAGGGTTGTAGTCACAGGAGCTGAAGGGGGTGTGGAAATGCACATAGGCAAAGGATTTTGTGCATCGCAGACAGAATTTTTCATCTCCAAGGCTTTTATTCCAATAATTATTATTTATATTGTGGATCATTAGATGAAAGATGCTCTTCTCTGTGGTTGTTAGTTACCAGCAATACATCTGGCCAGTACCTAAAAGCAGGGGCATCTATAGCAGGGGAGGTCAAGAAAGAAAAGGCTTCTTGTAACAGCAGCGAGGATTATAGTCACACAATATAAAATATTGGAAAAATGAAGAAACACTGCAAGATGAAGAGATAATTAAGAAGATACTAGACTGTGCAGAAATGGATAGATTGGCATTGAAAATTAAGCAGAATAAAGACACAGAGTACTATCAAACATGGAATCTATTCTACCAGTGGTTGGAAAAAAGGAGTGGAGATAAAGAATATAATCAGTATTGTTAAGCAGACAACATTATGTTTATTAAGCACTAACAAATCTAATTAATAAAAAGTCAAAATTTTATTTAAAAAAAGAAAAGAAAGAAAAATCTAGAATTAACAGTCTTCTAGTTTCTAATCTAATGCTTTAACCACGACACCAGAGTTGCTCTCTATAAGGAACTAGCATTCCTAAACCTTGTATCTGCTTTAACAAAACACAGTTGATCTCTTCCCCTAATAATATACTATATCCCAACAAATAAACCTTATTGTGGCTTAAGGTGATGGTTGTTTCATACGACAAGCTCAGAGCTAGATTCCCACAACAGACTGAACTATGAACTGTTCAGCCCTTTTGAGCTTTTTCTAGAGCATTTTGTGGAGCCTGCAGCCCACAAGATTGCCCTCTTTCGTTTTGTAGTTTTGCACATGCTCTTAAATCATACATAGGACAGAATGCTCTGCCTGGCAGTAGAACAGATATGAACAGTTTTGCAAAGGAGCTTATTGGCTCACTCATATCAAAGAAAAAAGGCAGCTGAGTAAGAGGAAAGTAGTTCCATTTATATCAACATTTAACTTTATTTTACAAAGGAAGTTGAGAAGCTATTCACATCCTGGCCCACTCAGAGGCCCAGGCAATGCCCTTCTCACTTCATCCTCACCGTTAGTGCTTCCTGCATGAATTATCTCTGCTTTCCTGTTGGCAGGAACTGAATTCCAACTGGTACAAAGGCTTGGGACAGGATATAAACAGGAAACGTCATCCAGATGACGCCACGGGCCTCTCAGCTCTGGGTGAGCAGGTTCCTGTGCTTTGCTCCGGTGTGCAATGCTTATGAGTGTCAACCTGGATGCTGAAATGTTAAGTCTGCAAGCAATGCGTGTGTGTGTGTGTGTGTACCTCTAATAGTGTACCTCTTCCAGCTCTATTCTGATTGATTGATTGAGTAATTGAATGTTAATCACAGAAGTAACTTACAGTGTTTTCACTGGAGATGCTTACAAGCAAACACCTTACCAGACTGGAGTCTGACACCATATGTAATAACTGTGCCTTTTCTTTTTCTTTTTACTTTCAAATGTAACTTAATAGAAATAAGGCAACAAAATTAAGTGTAAGGCTACAGTTTACTACTCTTGAGGGAAAACCATTTTGAACTCAGTGGCACTTATTTTGAAGAAGCACAGCTCAAATTAGATTGTACTTTTGTAAGTGATAGTTTAAAGATGGACAACAGATTATTTCTAAATCTACATTGTGCCATATCATTTTTCCCTATTTTAGAAAAAATATGGAAAAAGCAGACTACTATCTAATAGTCTGAATATAACAGAACTGTCTTATATTTAATTGTTTTGTTAATTTTGCCTTCTGCTCCAATTCCATATATGAACGTAGAATTCAGATAATCAGATTCTCAGCTAAACAGAGACTTTATGCAATGTGAACCTCATAATTTTTATACTCTTTATATCTTGTTCCAAACCACTAAGCATTTCCCCTCCCCCAGAAGACATTATTAGGAATTTCACTGTCATACATCTGTTACAGTTTAAATTCTTTAAGATTTAATCCTTTAAAACTAGAGTGAAACTATAGCTCACCATTTCTTATTCCCTTTTTTAAATTTTGCTAATGTTAAAAGGGAAATTGTGTGATGAGTATACCTGCTAAAATTTAATCTGAGAGTTTTCTTAATCAATTCAAACATTATTAATATTAGGAATAAAACAATATAGCAAGATACTCTTCTCTTCTACAGATGGCCTCTAACTGATGTGAGGGAAAATTAACAAGAGACCATGAACATTTTATCAAGGTAACTGTAATAAAATGTTTGATTAAAATATTAAGTTACTTTTCAGCTTTTTTGTGGGGGGGGAATTTCCTATCCTTCAAACCAACACCTGCCTAAGGATGATCAAGATGATACTTCATAATATTGTGCTTGTAACATCTCCTCTGCAGTTACACACACATTTTCCTTGCTAAAACCTGGACTTGTGACATTTTTGATAAATAGCAGTTGCCCAGAGTAACACAGTATTAGAACTGCAACCAGTCAGGAAAACTTAACTTTTTCGTCCACTCCAATGATCTTGATCAATATATGTTTTCCAAAGCCATTATTTGAATTAGGAAGAAAACATCTTTGTATTTCTGTATGTACCTTAATGGTCAGGGATGCAGACATAAACTGTGATATCCCAACATTGCCACATTTCATTTATATTTATTTGATTTGTCAATCACTTACAAGATACAGGTATAAGAATATATATAGTTTTGAATAGATAAGATAGATACTTATAAGAAAAATAAAAAGAAACAATAGGACAGGGACGGTAGGCACGATTGGTGCGCTTATGCATGCCCCCTACAGACCTCTTAGGAAAGGGGTGAGGTCAATAGTAGACAGTCTAAGGTTAAAGTTTTTGGGGTTTGGGGAAGAAACCACAGAGTCAGGTAGAGTATTCCAAACATTGACCACTCTGTTGTTGAAGTTGTATTTTCTGCAGTCATTTATGAAATAGATTATTTATTAAATATTTATAATTATGAAATAATTAATTAATATTTATGAAATAGGAAAGGACGAAAGATTCTACAGAAAAGATTAGTCTCAGCATCTTACTAACCTTTGGAAAGGTTCAAGTTTCTCAATATGAGGCCAGCTGTTTCCAGCTGAAAGAGCATATTTGCCCCAAGAGGAAGGATGGATGCTGAATCATGATTCACCGTGGTTTTTTGACCTTTTTTTTCCAATTAATCTGCTTCAGTATTTGAGAGAAGCAAAAGTAAGAAACCACAGGCTCATAGTAGGTCAAAAAGAACTCTTTCAACTTTGGGGAATATAGGAAACTGCCCTGTGCAAGTAGAGCTATTTCATTGATTCCCTCTGGTAGGAGGTTCTTAAGAATTCAGTCCCTGGTTTTTGGTTTTTTTAGACCTATCAAAAGATGCCAGGGATTAAACTCAGACCTCTAGTCAGTGTCCTTTGACTGAACTATGGATTTCATTATTATTATTATTATTGTTGTTGTTGTTGTTGTTGTTGTTGTTGTCCTTGTTGTTAATAATACAGTATTTATTAGTGCTTAACAAACATTGTGATGTCTCGGTATTTAATTTGCTTAACAATACATATTACAGTCTTAATCTCCACCCCTTTCCCCCAACCATTGACAAAATTGATTCCCTGTTTGATAATATTCCATATCTTCTCTCTGTTTAATTCTTTTTTTAAAAAAATATTTAAAAACAAAAAATACAAAAATGTCATTTCCATTAACAGTTATTGTGTCATTGTATATACATGTTTCTTATTTTGTGACTATACATTATTTTTATCCTTATCCTTCACCCATTTAATTCTTAATGCTAATCTCTCCATTTCTGCACACTCTAGTATTTTTTAAAATTATTTCTTAATCTCATGGTGTTTCTTCATTTTTCCAGGATTGCGCAAATACAATCCTCGCTGCTGTCAAAACGTGCAATATTAAATACATACTTTTCTTATCTAGTTTACCTGGTATCATGCCCAATAAAAATAATCCAGATTTAAAATCTGCATGCTTTCCTATCATCTTTTCCAGCCATTTGTGTATTTCCCCCCACGCCCAAAAAAACCTTCACTTTACCAAATGTCCACCACATATGATAGTAGATTTCTGAAGGATCTGTATAGTTCCTTATGTCTTCTAATCTGGCATTCATCATTTCATATGCATACCCACTACTGTAAATCATGGCAGCATGTCTGTCAGATTGATTTGAAAGTCAGAATTTGAAATACAGTTAATCCTCAACTTATAACAATTCCTTTAGTGACTGTTCAAGTTGGCAACACACTGAAAAAAAATGACTAATGACTGTTTTTCACACTTATGACCATTGCAGCACCCCCATGATCATGTGATCAAAATTCAGGTGCTTGGCAAGTGGTTCATATATATGACGGTGGCAGTGTTGCCGGGGTCATGTTATCCCCTTTTGCGACCTTCTGGCAAGCAAAGTCAGTGGGGAAGCCAGATTCACTTAACCGTATGACTAATTTACCAACTGCAGTGATTCACTTAACAACAATTGTGGCATGGGAAGTCGTAAAATGGGACAAAATTCACTTAACTAATTTCTGGTTTAGCAACAGAAATTTTGGGCTCATTTTATGGTCATAAGTCAAGGACCACCTGTACTTGTTTCAAACTGATGCCCTCCAGATTTGTTGGGGTGCAAACTAAGGTAAATCAGTACAGCAGTGAGGATTTTGGAAATCTAAATCCAACAGAACTGAAGGACGAATGTATCTTTTCTTTTATGTACACTGAGAGCATTTGCACCAAGACACATTCCTTGTGTGTCCAACCAATAAAGAATTCTATTCTATTCTATTCTATTCTATTCTATTCTATTCTATTCTATATCAGGTTTGGGAATAAAGAGTTTATCTTATTTAAGTGTGTGGGGTAGATGTATGAACCTGCGGCCCTCTTGGTGATACTGAAGGAACTTAGGAATTTTGCTTTAGTAACACCTAGAGGTTGGTGAATTCTCCACTCATTCAATATGCTGATTTAAAACACTGTATTATCTTGCCTTTTTCCCACAATAGGAAAGCAAGGAGTAATCAATTAGAAACCAACCATCTCACCTCTGTTGCTGAATTGCATTTGGAACAACTTGTTAATCTCTGCTTATATACATATGACTCCTAGCTTTCTCTCTTTGCCTTTAAGGCATCTATGTATGCTTTTAATAAACCAACTGAACTCATCTTTCTGACATAAGTGCTCCAGGGGATGAAAGAAAAAATAACTCTCTCCAAGGCATTTGCAGGATGCAATTAATGTTGTAATTGACCTTAATGCATCACTCCCGAGAAGGCTGCACAAAAACTCACACATCAAGAGAAGTTCTGTTTTATTTATTAACTAAAATGGCTATTCAGGGTCTAAAGCTTTAAATAAATCAAAAAGGTTAGATAATTAGCAATGCTGGCCTAAAAATACAAACATCGATAGTTGAAGTATGAACATATATTAATGTTAGTAGTATTCTATAATCCACTATAGGCCTCGTATATTGCCTGTTTCAATTATTCAGAATGTAGGGATATAACCATTTTAATTATCTTCTGATTCTGCGGTCCCTTAGGGTAGTTTAAAAACTTGGCTCATCCAGCAGATTCAGAAGAAGAACAATTTATGGACCTACTTGAATGTTCCAGTATTTTAAGTCTTGGGTTTACCAATATGGTCATTTGCTATTTTCATGCTTCTTTCTATCCTTTGAGTTGCTTATGACTAAGTTGCCTTTATAAGTTGACTTCATAAAATGAATGGAATAAACTTATTTGCAACAACATGAAAGACCACAAGAGGACAGTTCACAAATGAAATGCCTTGCCAAGCCCTAATTTCTCCATGGCTAGTTGTATTTCTGAGTGCTATTTAATTTCCAGGAATACTCTGGATTAAGTCTGTCTGTCTGCCTGCTGCCTGCCTATCTACTTACCTATCTAGTTATCCACTGCAATGAAATCATTCATGTATGTACCTTCTAATAAGGTATTTGACTGAATTGACTGTACTTTTCTTGGCAAGGTTTTTCAGAAATGGTTTTTTTTATTTATTTATTTTTATTTGTCAATTGATTACAAGATAATAGGTATAAGTGAAACATAGTTATGAATACATGGATACATATAAAAAAAATATAAAAGAAAAAAAGGACAGGGACGGTAGACACTTTGATGTGCTTATGCACACTCCCTACAGACCTATTAGGAAAGGGGTGAGGTCAATAGTAGACAATCTAAGGTTAAAGTTTTTGTGGTTTGGGGAAGAAACCACAGAGTCAGGTAGAGTAAGCCAGACATTGACCACTCGGTTGCTGAAGTTGTACTTCCTGCAATCAAGTTTGGTGCGATTAACCTTGAGTTAGTATCTATTGTTTGCTCTTGTATTTTTATGGTTGAAGCTGAAGTATTCATTGACAGGTAGGACATTTCAATGTATGATTTTATATACTATACTTAGATCAGACCGAAGGAGGCGTAGTTCTAGATTTTCTAGGTCTAGAATTTTGAGTCTGGTGGCATAAGGTATTCTGCAACGAATAGAGGAGTGGAGAACTCTTCTTATGAAATATTTCTGGACTTTCTCAACTGTGTTAATATCAGATACATAATGTAGGTTACTTCTTCCTGGACTGAGATAGTAGGACAGGCCTAAGGTCCTCCGGCTAACTTTATGTCTAAGGCAGGACTAGAATTCACTATCTCCCAGTTTCTGTCTGGTGCCTTAATTACAACGCCAAACAGACTCTTTGGATAATTAGAGTGAAAATATTGGGGATGAGGAAATTCCATTAGAGAGCTGCTGTAGGAGCCCAAATTGCTCAGTGATGTTGAAAGAAACTAATTAGGAAGAATTCTCCATGGATTCCCTCATCTTAAATGCAAGGATAACTCTTCAAGATGAGGCTTGGTAAAGAAGATAATTTTGGGCAGATAGAATGAGGCTTTCTTCCCAATATTAAGAACTAGATTCAGGGTATGGTTCATTACCTATTTTTGAAAAGTCTTTATGTTCAGAAAATGAGCGGCTGAGGAGATATGCTTCTACATGTTATAGTTTTAATGATAAGCTAAAGATTTAATTGCTTTTATATAGAAACTATGTCTTTATTTCTTGTTTATTTATTTCTTAATCACTATAATTTATATTGATGTCTTATTAGATAACCATTACTAGAGGGGGCAGTTGCTTATATATTCGCAGTTTAAATAAAACATAAAACAAGCTACAATTACGGTACCAGGCTAGAAACTGGGAGACTGTGGGTTCTAATCCTGCCTTAAACATAAAGCCAGCTGGATGACCTTGGGCCAGCCCCTTTCTCTCTCAGCCTAGGAAAGAGGCAATGGCAAAACACTCCTGAAAGCATGCCAAGAAAACTGCAAGGACCTGTCCAGACATTCACCAGGAGTAAAAACTGTCTTGAAGGCATAAAACAACAACAATAAAGCACCAACTCACAGTTAAGCCATTACATTTAGCAGGTTGTAGGAGCCTTGCCCAAGCATTGTGCATTGAAGTGAAAGTGAACACTTCATCCTATCCCATTTTTAAAATACTCTTGACTTCTGTCACACTCATTCAATCCCAGTTCCTTCCCGATAACATATGTAATGTAGGCAAAAAAAGGAGATGAAAACATTTGCTTTGCTCTGTTACAAGTATACATCATTTTTGACCTCCAATATAATCTTCATCATTCATATGTAATAATTAAAATAACATAGAATAATAGAGTTGGAAGGGACCTTTGAGGTCTTCTAGTCCAACCCCTTGCACAAGCAGGAGACCCTATACCATTTCAGAGAAATGGCTATCCAGTCTCTCTTTGAAAGCCTTCAGTGTTGGAGCACCCAAAATTTTTTGGAGACAAGTCGTTCCACTGATTAATTGCTCTAACTGTCAGGAAATTTCTCCTTAGTTCTAGGTTGCTTCTCTCCTTACTTACTTTCCATCCATTGCTTCTCGCCTTGCCTTCTGGTGCTTTTAAATAATTTATTTACCAAAAATAATTAGAAAAAAATATATTATAATTCGATATAAAAATTTGAAAAATTCCTGTGATTTGAGCTGGGGGGAAAGGCAGGATGAGATTAGTGTGTTTGAAACTGCACAACATATCTGCTATCAAGCATCAATAATTGTACAGATGATTATTAATACATGCATTTGAGTTTTAAATGTATGGTTTTTCTATTCAGCATTATATTTTGGGTCTGTTATGAACTTCATTTAAACATCTGCCAAATGAAGAAGTGGAAAATCAATTTAATAAAGAAATGCATTGAATAATATCCCCTCTTATTCTTGTCACTGGCTTCTGACACACCAGATACCAAGTCTTAAGTAGGTCATAGCCATTTTAAAATCTATTCATTATTCCCAGTGTTTAATATGTATATTTTAATAGATGGCCCTTTCCCTCCTCATTTGACGAATAAAGTTGGGATACATCTCTTGGGTTTCTCTTGGCTTCCTTTTAACTAACTGGGACCTGAGGCTGCAGTTTGTTCCAGGCAGGAAACAGATGGGATAAATAATGTTTTTAAGAGAAATTTCCCTTGAAGAAAAGGCTGTATGTTTCCTTCACACTTGCTATTAACGTCTTAGGTAATAGCTAAAACTCCAGCAGGTGCTTCAGAAAGGATATTTAATTTTCATTCTCAAGAGATTTAACCTGCTTTTTTCCCTTCAAGAATGTCAAAAGAAATACAATAAGAAATAGCTGCCCTGGAGTGAAATACCGGGTGTGTGCCTCAAGCACAACAAGCATTGCTTGCAACAATAAGGCACTGAGCTGATCTATATTTATTTCTATGGATGCTTCCAGATGCCAAGAACAGCAATGAAAACAGACCCACAAAACACCTTTATGTGCCATCTGTAGCCCCTCTGGCCCACGGTTACTGTAT